ACTCTGTATTCCTTCACAGAGGGGAGCGCGCAATCCCTAGGCAGAATCCTAGCCTTCCTGAGGAGAGAGAAAGAAAGAACTTACCTTAAGGTTCCTGTTGGGATTCCTGTTGAAGCCCCACGTTTAAGGGCGCCAGAACCCCAGTGTTGTGTCGTCATGTTTATGTGGTGTTTCCTTTCTTTAGGAAGATGAGACCAAGCCAGAAGACTGCATACCGGATGTACCAGGCAATGAGCACGCCAGGGAGTTTCTGGCTCATGCACCAACCAAAGGGCTCTGGATGCCGCTGGGGAAAGAAGTCAAAGTTATGCAGTGTGAGTCCGGAGCTTCAAGTGACACTGCCAGGGCGTACATTTTACAAATCACAGCTGACAAAGTGTCTTCACTTCTCTGATTTAATTTCCTGTCACCACAGCCCTGTTAAAGTAATGGTATGCTATTTTGTGATGAGAAAGCCAACTATCTATGGTAGAAACTGGTCTACTACCAGTAGGTCTAGCATCTTTTAGAAGATAGTTACCCGCATATCATCTCCATCCGAGAGAGTTCCTTCACCATCATTCTGTGGACCCCCTTTGTCTCTCCTGTGATGAATCTCCTATCTCCTATATCTTAGATCGTTGTTGTTATATTTTCTTGTTATGGTAAAGCACATTCTCCAGTAGCCGAGAAATGGGGTTGATAGGAGATAAAATTTTCAAGACTTAATATACTTGGAAGTATTTCTATTTTAAAAATATATATTTTTAACTTGTAGGGTATGAAATTCTAAGATGAAAGCTAGCTTTCTTCCAAATTTTGAAGTCATGATTCCACTGCCTTCCCATTTATAGAATGACTGTTGACATATTCAGAGCAATTCCAATTCCAGATACTTTAATGTAACTTGTTTAGTTGTCATTACTTTTTGATTTTTAGTTTTCCTTTTGGAAAGCTTGTAAGAACATTTCCTCACCCCCAGGATACTGAAATTTCACTAGTTGTCTTCTTGATCCAGTCATCTAGTTTTGGGCATTTGGATTATCTCCAGGATTTACGTATTGTAAGTAATGCTGCAATAAACATAGGCGTGCGTGAATCATTTTGAATTAATGTTTCTGTGTCCTTTGGGTAGGTTCCTAAGAGTGGAACTGCTGGGTCATATGGTAGCTCCATTTTTAGCAGACTGAGGAATCTCCATACAACAAAATGGGTGATTTAAACAAGAGAAATTTGATTGTGTTACAACTCTGGAGACTAGAACTCTAAAATCAAGGTGTCAGTAGAGTTAGTTCCTTCTGAGGACTAAGAGGAAAGGCTGTATTCCAGTCTCTGTAAAGATCTTATCACCCCATAAGACCACATTCTGAGGAATAGGGGTTACGACATAAAACATAAGGGAGTGAGAGTGAGAGAGCTGTAGAATTCAACCTATAGCACAACATAAATCAAAATATAATACATATATTGAAATATAGAAAGAATCACCCTTTTTAATTTTCTTAGGATTGCCTGGTAAGTACTTGATTCATTTTTAAACCTCTTTTAAGATGAAAGAATGCTTGAGGAGGCAGTTTCCCTCTTTTCTTTGATCCTACCTTGCTCATCCATTGATGACATTTGCTTTCAAAATTGGAATTTTGAAAACTATGATCTACTGATAATTTATCTTGATTGAGTAAAAATGTACTCTTACAGAAATATATCCCTTTTTCTTTGTTTTTAGGTTGGCGTTGTAAACGGTACGGTCACCGAACGGGTGATAAAGAATGCCCTTTCTTTATCAAAGGCAACCAAAAGTTAGAACAGTTCAGAGTAGTAAGTAAAACCCCAGAATGTCAATTTCCATTTACCAGAGAGGGTTAATGTTGGCGATTCAAACACAGACACCAGTGCACTGAGTGTTCACATAAAATACATTCCCAGAAGACTTTTGACTGAAGTATGTGTTAACTAACTACATGGCTGTCAAAGTGAATTTGTGAATTAACAAAAAAACTGACATCTAATTAAATTTTTATTTGTTTATGCCTTGGGAACAGTTCATCCATTTTCTTCAGACATTGTTATCAATTAAATCACTTTTTTATTATATGGCCTCTTTAAATAGAGCTATCATTTCCTCGCTTCATTTTAACATAATCACCTATATCTTTAAAGACATTTTAAATATTGTGTTTCATTTTCATCTGAAGAAAATATTCTGGTTAAGTCACTGCTAGCTGGAATGTCCATTTTTATAGTTCTTATACCAGATTATTTGGTAGTAAATCTCAAAAACCTAAATATATTCATATTTTTGTAAACCAGTAACCCAAATTCTAAGAATTTATTCTAAGATTATACAGAACATCAGTATATACAAATTGTTATGACTGTATTAGGATAATTTCGGTATTATTATTTTTTTTAACAATCATTTCTTCTTGTACCTACTTTTTTTTTTTTTTAAAGATTTATTTATTTGCACATACAGGGCAGAGGTGCAGGGGCAGTGAGAGGATTCACCAGAGACAGAGTGGGGAGCAGAACAGGCAGTTTGATGAAGTACACTGCTGAGGGGAGCAGTGGGTGGGTCAGGAAATATCTGCCATACCATGTGGCTCACCTTCCGGACAGGGGATGAAACTTGCACTGAAGTAACTGCAGCCAGCTTGCAGTGCCTCGCTTTAACCCGCTGCGCCACCAGGGAGGACCATCAATATTATTTATATGAAAAACTAGAAACTAAAGAAAAATAGTCAACTATTTCAGTCACCAACATACTACATAAATTGCTGTGACATAGAAATAATATAACTTTTGAGATTTATGTTTTGAAAGAATGTGTTATGTCATGAGAAGGAACAAACTTAAGGAAAAAAGAGAAGGGAGTTATATGTATAATATAATTATAGTTTTTTACAAATTATGAATAATGACTGGAAGAAGTACACTAAAATGTTAGCAGTGAGTATCCCTTGGTAATAGATGTTTTTTTAATTTAATTTTCCTTTAGCATGAAAGATTTTTATAAAAAATGTGTTTGCACATAACTCACATACCATAAAATTCACTCTACCTGTGTCTGTGTACTCAGAAATTTAAGTGTCACTTTCAATTGTGCAAACATTACAAGAATTTACTTGCTTTCATTTACCAAAATGACACTACAGTAAGGTTTTTCACAATTTTTCAAGTCCAGTCTTGCCTCTCTTTCCTCTTTGAGTCAGTACTTGATAAGTTTACTTACACACCTCGGTGGGAAATATATTTTTACATACCTATAAATGAGTCATTTTTGCATGTCTTTTCAACCCAGTTGTTTTCAATAATATTACTTGATCATTTGTCCACATCGAACAAAACACATGACCTTAATATTTTCTAAACTAAGTAATATTTCACAATGATTCTCCCATGGTTTTTTTCTTATAAAAGCTATTTTTTAATTCATGACATACCATTATTTTACATTCTTGTTTGTTTTTTGACAATAGAGGTTTTCTCCCTTCCAATGTATATAAAAACTATTTAAATTACATTCTATATTTGTATATTTGGAAGTACATTTTTTACAGCTTCCCCTTGAGTGTTTGAAATAATGGTGACTCAGGGGAAGGATCAGACCATGTATTATTAGAACTTCTAGGGCATTCCTTGGTGGTGCAACTGGTTAAAGTACAGCATTGTGAAGTGATCCCTAGCCATTGCAGCACAAGTTCGATTCCCAGCCGGCAGGGGAGGTGACCCACATGGCATAGCATGTGGGTCAACCTGCCCACTGCTCCCCTCAGCAGTGAATTTCAGTGATCTGCCTGTTCTAGTCCCCACTCTATCTTGGGTGAATCGTCTCACCACCCCACACCTCTGGCCTGTACCCCAGGCCTTGGATGCATAAATAGATAAATCTTTAAGAACTTATATTAGTCTATAAAATTATACCCAATTTGAAAAAAAAAAAAAAACTGGTTTCAATGAAAGAGGGATTTAATTTTAATTTAACTAATAATCAATGAAACCTAACTCAACCTTACTTTCTCTAACCTTCAAGGCTCATGAAGATCCCATGTATGATATCATTCGAGAAAATAAACGACATGAAAAGGATGTGAGGTAAGCTTGTCCTGATCAGTGTCCTCTAAAAGGCTGAAATTATATAAAGTGGGGAATGACCATTTCAATGTTAGAGGAATGGTGTAGTAAATACTTGGTGGGCAGCAAGTATGGCTAATAGGAAGGCTAATAGGAAGGAATAAATAGGCAGCCTCATTCCGCTTGAGTTTCCTTAAGTGCTGTTTTCACCTTGCCCACTCACAGCACTCATGGTTGATTTTGACTACTATGACTTAGCTTATAAAATGTGGCAGACCTCTCCTGACCCACCCGCTGCTCCCCTCAGCAGTGTGCTTCGTCGATCTGCCTGTTCTGCACCCCACTCTGTCTCTGGTGAAGCTTCTCACCGCCCCTGAGCCTCTAGCCTGTACCCCGGTTCTGTATGTACAAA